TACTCTCCGAGCCCACTTTTCTCGCCTGGTACGACAATGAGCACATCCCTGAAGTAGTTTCTACATCGGGCGTCGACTCTGCTTTCCGCTTCATTGATATCCACAAGTCCGCACCTATTGGCAACGAGCAGAACCCGAAGCCATTTCTGGCATGTTATCCCATGGAAGACTTGGCCTTTACGCTGGGTGATGAGTTCAAGAACATAGGGTTCAGGAGTAGTGCGCTGCCCGGTAGTGGTGTGATTTATGATTTGGCGGATATGGATGTTAGTTACCTGGGTATTGTGGGTAAGACACCGAAGAGAGAAGAGGGCGAAGGAGGTCGGCCGAAGTATGTGATCACGTCAGGTATTCGACCTGAGAAGCAGCCAGCAGAAGGACAGGTCACTGCGTTCTTCAAAAAGGTATGTTCTTTCTGTGCCACACACACTGAGTGTTTTGAAGGAGGGTCAATACTGATATTGGTGTTCTAGCAAATCTCCACACTCGAAAAGTCGCCAGACTACATGCGCACACTCCGCTTCAAACTCCTCTACGCGAGGACGAATGCGCAATCCCGTGCTCTGAAGGGCCTGCCGACAACAGATGAACCACATCCCGAACCCTCGACCTGGCTGGCTATGCATAAGTTTGCGGGCGTACCTGACGAAAACTTTGTGAAAGCGCTGAGTGATGGTGTGAGCAAGGCTGCTGAAGAAGGTGGTTGGGGCGAGACGGAAATTGAGACGCTTGTTTGGAAACTAGATCGTGTGCATGGAGATGGGAAGTTCTTTGAGTAAGACAATGGTAGATTCGAGTTGGCAAGGATAAAGTTGTTCTTGTGCGATGCAAATGATGAATGCGTCAGAGATACAAAGCAGTACGTGAAGCGCTACAGATACCCCGTATTTCCCTTCGAACCCATTTCTTCTTTTTACGGTACATGATCAATACCACTTAATGCTCATGTCCATGCTCATGATCATGATCATGGCCGTCCCCCTCCTTCTCATCCCACGGATGCCCCTCACCAACACCCTCCCACGGATCACCCTTCCACGTCATCCAAGTCTGATGGCCGCTAACATTCGCCTCCAACTCCCCACACCTCCTCTGCTCCCAACTCTCTTTCCCTGCTACAACAGCCCAATGTTTCTGCGCCCTGCCCGCCCAGTACTTCGCCCGATCCTCGATCCCGAAACTACTCCACGTATACGCCAGGATCTCTTCGTACTGGGGTAGTTCGGTTAGGAGCCCTTCCTCTTCTAGGTGCTCAATGAGTTTGGGGAGAAGGCCGAGAAGCTGCGGTGAGTCCTCTGGGTCGGTGGGTAGAACGGATTTCAGCGCTTTGATCTCTGAGAGGCGGTCGTTGGATGCCATTATTGCGTCGTCGTCTGCGGTGCATAGAGGACAGGTGCAGGTGAAACCGAAGTTTGCTTCTATAGACTTCACGCGACGCCGGCGAGCACGTCTTTCAAAGCCATCTAAGCAGTAATTAATTTGGTATTTCCAGTCACATCATTGTGAGGTGGTCACTTACAGCTTCTCGTGATCTCTTCTCCTGGCTTAATGTCCTTGAGAGCGAAGACTTCAAATGAGAGGGTGTAGTCGTCAAAACGCCATAGAGTGTTAGGTCGACAAGCATGATTGATGCGCTGTATTGAAGTTAGCATATATTTAAAGGCAAGTCTATCGGTCATGACTTACCGCAGCCTCGGGAATAACTGCCAAAAGCTGGGGCAGCTCGTCAACCCATGGCCATTTCACAGCAATGCCGTTCGTCACGACAATGTCTTCGACGGTGCCATCCACATTGACGTCCAATCTCTTGACCATCTCTCTAGTCTTTTCCGGCAAATGATCGACTGCCTGCTTCAACACGAGCTGTGGCCTCGGCATCTCCGGTATTTCCAGTATCTGTTTAGCGACGAACAGCACAGGAGTCTGCACGATCAAACTCTCGCCTGGAAAGATCCCGGCGATATCTTTCTTTGCAAACAATGCTTTTCCCTTCTCTCCCGCGTATCTTACCTCCCACATACCCATCTCTTCTCCCACCTGACCTTCCATGCCTCCAATGCTCATGCCAAACGTCTCCATCGTCACGCTAGCCGCGACCTCGGGGCTCACAACAAAGCTTATTCCGCGACCGTTGTTGTAGTTGGCATTGGTGTAGGCACAGAATGTCTGATGAACATCTGATCCTGTGCTCTCGTTCTCTTTACTGGGTAGTACGATATCTACGCATGTAGGGTGATGCGTCCATGGAAAGGTATCGGAAGTGTAGCCATCCTGGGCCACGGGACAAACTGTTGAAGGTTTGTTGATAAGGCCGTCTTGAATAACGGGACTGCGTGCTGTATAAAACAGTTCCGCCCTGGTAGTCGACGCGCATAGGAGTGCGGTCGAGACAGCGAGATAACTGGGTAGGTGCCGTCGCCGCGGCCATGTTGCTGTGACCATCTTCCAAGCTCTTTACTGTGTACTTTCTTATTTTTCTCAAAAGATGCCGAAAAGATAAAGAAAATCAAAGAAGCAAGACGTTAACATCTTCGACGTCGGAAGAATTAATCGCGCGAGATAGGAAGCCACGTTTCACGAGTAATCACGAGTAATGATCTCCGAAACCCCTGTTGCTGAAACGTGCTGGCTGCTTGGCGGTTGCGTTGCGCCTGCATCTAGATTGTCTTGGGGATGCATGAGGCCAGTGAGGTTTGGGGCTGTTACCGTCGTTTGATGAGATAGATGATCCGGCAGAGTGGCTGATGTGGGGATGACTAGCTTCAGCGCCGGGAGAGTCGGTTGAATGGCGCACGTGAGCTGTGAGAACATCGCGCCTTCCTACCCTACCGAAGCGAGATCCTCATCCGACGGACCACAACTACATCGTATGATTTCCATGGTGTGCTCTGAATCAATTTTCGGCGGGTGCGATCATCCCAACGGACCTCATGTCTGGCAGGGGCAACATGCGCACACTGTGAGGTTGCGTCTTGAGGGCTGCGCTTCGACAGCGAGGTTCTGGCTTGCGTAGGCCAAACAAACGTCAGAGACGATGATATGAAGGTTTTACCATCTCAAGTGGGTTTAAAATTCTCTCAAGCACAATGGCAATCACGACCTCTAACAAGCTTCCCAATTGCTTGTAACGCGCAACAAACCCTCGCAAGTATAAGGCACAAGCTGGAGCGCTCTCCACTCTGCAGCCTAAGTGCACAACCAGCGCCCTCAGTATCTAACATGCCTTCAAGAGATCCGCTCCATGCTCGCGTCATAGAGCTCATGGACGTGACTTCTAATCTGATCATCGAAGAGAAGAACCAGCTCGCGAGTAAGTCGTCCAAGCGTTACTGTCCCCTTCCGCGGACGCCTAGTATACAAGAGCTAATATGACCAGATGATCTACGCTTCATCATCACCGTTGTTAAAGGGTACGTCGATACCAATCCACTATCTTTGAATCTGGCCCTGGAGTGTAATACTCATGGCGAGTTTCGCATGCTCTTCGTTCGCGATGATCAGTTCATCTTGGGGAGGACCACGAATACGCGCAATGCGGCATTGGATGGTTTACGACGGACAGTGGAGGAGTTGATTGATGTGTTTGTATCGCGTAACTCTGTCAAGCTAATGGTATAATCGGTACTATCAGATGAACCCTACCACATCTATTCCTACAATTCAGTCTCCTTGCAACCTCGACATGTACTACCTCCGCATCTTCCGCCTGTGATGCTCGACCAGATCCTTCTCGAGCACCATAACAGCGTCGAAATGATTCTCCCCGACAGCCTTCGCAATAAATTTCTTCTCCTCCTTTCCATCCACATACAGGCTCGCCTCCACGGACTCTCCGGCTCTACTGCTGATGATCAAGAACTCCTTCTCATCCCTGACCCCGAAATCAGGTTCGTATATGGCACGACCTATCAATTCATTAGTATCATAAAACACCGCCAAACTTGGACAAACGCCAAACTCACCAACAGCCATCTTGACCGCCCTCGCTAACCAAGCCATGGCGAGCGCCTCTCGCTTATCAGGTACCGTCTTACCCTTCTGCTCCGCTAGGTTTCGTATATCCCGCGCCGTCTCCTCGTCTTCCTTGTCTCTCTCCCACTCCAGCTCGCATTTGATTCTTGGTCTGATGTTCATGCCGCGGTCCATGTCGGAAGATTTCCATGTGAAGTGCTCGTGTTTCCAGTCGTTTGCTGCTGTTCTGAATGAGCGGTGTTCGCGGGTGCGAGCGATTTCTGCGGGGTTGTCGACAGCGCGGATGTGCGTGAGATAGTGGCTAGATGAAGACGGTGGTAAGACTTTGACGGTGATGTGGTATGTCGGTGCGATCAAGGCTGCGCCGTGGAGTTGTGCGGGGCTGGTTGGCATGGTTGCGCTTCGGGTGTTGGGAAGTATGCGGCGATTGGATATGTTGGGATCTGCCAGTAGTCAACAGTAGTTGGATTGGTGTGAGTATTAAAGTCAGAAACTCATAGTAGCCACATAAATAGTCCGCTCAGTCAGTGAATTTCATTCCTACTAGCTGGCTAGTGAAGTGTCGCAAACGCTATGCGAACGCGGCTTCAACAATGCACAAGCTTGCACTATATTCCATGTCTGTTTGACAGCTAAAAAGAGCTTCAAGCATCGTGTAGTTTCACATTCCATGTCCCACCTCTTGAAGTTGCGAATCGCGATGCTTGCTTGACAATGATAACTGCGGCATAGAAAGGAGATGATCATTTCACACGACGCGTTATGTGTATTTGATAAAGCAAGTTCTTAGTCAAGTACTAGACTGTCTGTAGGGTTGCCTATTGCGGAAAGATACGTCCTACAGTATCTTATATAGAGGATACTCATTCCTCACAGAGTAAAGAAAGTCGTAATGACATATCGTGTAAAGCCGTTGAAGAACGTTCACCAGTGACGATTCTCAGAACCTACGGGTTATGCTAGTCCCACGCCGTGCCATCATCTGAACCAGTACTCACGCCATAGGGAAAAGCTACATGGGGCAACTCCTAGTACCTGCCGCCTGGTGGCGGTTGGCCATACTGCTGCTGACCTGGGTATCCACCGGGGCCTCCTTGGGGCGGTCGCTGCTGGCCATACTGACCTGGTGGAGGTGCTTGTTGACCGTAGCCTTGTGGAGGTGCGCCGGGTGGAGCACCGTATCCTTGGGGCGGATGCTGACCAGGTGGAGCACCGTAACCCTGGGGTGGCTGCTGTCCATAGCCTTGCGGCGGCTGTTGGCCATAGCCCTGGGGTGGCTGTTGGCCGTAACCTGGAGGAGGTGCGCCATACTGGCCGGGTGGTGCGCCGTACCCGCCAGGTGCTGGGTTGCTCTTCTCGTCCTTCGAGTCGTAGCTTCGATCAATGGCACCGAGAAGAAGCTTGATGATCCAAAGATCGGGTGTAAGATCGACAGGAGGGTTTGCGCGCATCATCTCTTCCTGTTCGTTCTCGAAGTCTAATTCTGCGTGAGCACAGGTCTAGTCTGGATGGTATGAGACTTACTGGACGTGCAGTCAACCATGGGGCCAACGTCGGGTTCCTCATCGAGTTGACTGAGGAATTTCCTAGCAGTCACATCGTTTCCTACCTGAGCAAACTCAAAAGCGACTGCACCACGGCCGTAGGGCGTCGACTGAAGATGTCTGTAGGTGTCCCTGATGATATCAAAAATCAAGGTTGACTTCTCACCTGCAGGCTGCCCGTCGGTGATGGCAATGACCAATACTGGCTTCTGCATCTGTCCTGAGCGTGCCTTTGGGAGTACTATCTCATTGATGACCTTCTTCTCCATGGAGGTACCCATGGGTGTGAGGCCCTTGAAGTTGACGCCACGCATGATCTCTGCGACCTGAGCCTCAGTCGCGACGCCATCTTGGAGAGGCCGACCCTGTTGGTCGCGAGCTCCCGAGAGATCGGTGTTCATGCAGCGGACAGAGATGCCATCGTTGTCAAAGAGAGTTGCAGCGAACGAGACTCGGTCCAAAATAAGGCGCAAATCTGTGATACGGCTGCCTTCCTCTTCGAACTGCATGGATCCACTGTCATCTAATGGATGTCAGCTTGATCACGATTCTCGAGCTGAGAAAATTACCGATGTATAGCACGATGTCGTAAAGCGCTAGTTTAACAATGTCATTGGCAATCTCCTTCTGGATCTTCCAGCGCGAGATGACTTGATTGATCTTCGCGGGCGCTTGTTGAGCAATCTGGTCAATATGTTGGCAGATCGGGAAGTTCTGGAGGCCCTTCTCTTGGATGCAGGCTTGCAGAAGCTGCTTGTAGCCCGCGATCTCAGCTGGTCCGGCCTGAACCTGTTGGGGAGGGGGCGGGCCGCCGCCATATCCTCCTTGTGGTGGAGGTGCGCCATACTGGCCCTGCGGAGGCTGTCCTGGTGGTCCACCCTAATATCACGTTAGTCTCTGCACAGATCTTCGCGGAAAGTCACTAGCTCTGCGCCTTTGCTCATACGTGGGTTTGAAAATCGAAAAAATCTAAATTAGTACGAACATTCGGTTGGAAAGCGGGCTGCTGGCCGTAAGGTTGGCCATATTGCTGCGGCGCCTGTCCATAAGCGGGTTGCTGTGGTTGGCCCCATTGGCTTTGCTGCTGGTAAGGCTGTTGTGGTGGTTGCTGTCCATACGGCGGCGGGACCTGTGGCTGATTCCATTGCGCGGGGGGCGCTTGACCTGGTTGTGGGGACTGTGGGAATGACGATTGAGAATATGGAGATGAAGGCTGTTGTCCTGGCGGCGGTGGAGGGGGTCTGCTATACCCTGACTGCCCTTGTGGATATGGTGAAGATGCGCCATATTGGGTGGGAGCTGCCGGTTGCGCAAAAGGCGACTGCGGCGGCGCATACGAACCAGGACGCGGAGGCATAGGAGGACCAGGCTGTTGTTGTTGCGCATAAGGATTTGGCGCCTGCCCGGCGTTGGGCTGATAGGCAGTATAGCTAGATGACATCTTGCTTGATAGAGGCATGTGTGGCTAGGTCCAGGAACGAAGTGTGGCGGAAAAAGTCCAGAGTGGATGCCGGGCGTGCGATAATTTATTGGTGCCAAAAGCAAGTGGAGAACTAGGGAAGAGGCTTGCGAATGCCCAGTCTTAAGTAGCGGGTAGGGAAGGGCGATGACGACGCAGAGCAAGTGACAAGAGAAAGAAAGAGCTTTGGGCTTACCCCGGGAGCACCGGCACCTTGGGCACCTGGATACGCTTGATACTGTGGCTGTCCAGGCTACGTTGCATTAGTGAATCATTGCCAACATCACCCTTCACTTGAAGACTTACGTAGCCGCCTTGTCCACCGGGCGGAGGATAGCCAGATGCAGCCTGAGCCGCCTGCATCTTAGATGCGAGCTTCGCCTGGTTAGCTATGACGAAGGTGGGGTGGAGGGGTAGCTAAGGAGCTGGCGATAACATACACCCATCTTTCTATTGCGTGTAATGGTTCTGTTGCGTGACAGAGGATTGAGAAAGTCGGACAAGGCTGATTCTCGAGATAGGATTTGACAAGGTTGAGATGGAAGGTCAGGTTATAATGTATGCCTTGCGATGTTGGCAAGAGCCGAAGCTGACGTGCTTACCTGCTAAGCCCCCGCCGGTGCACCGCCCTAGTCACGTATTGGTTAACGCCACATGGCCATTGTTCATTGCACACCAACACCGTGGCTGTTTGTTATGAAATGTGGGAACGCGTGAGGCTGTGCCTTCGGATAAAGTGACGAACGAGCGGGGCATTATCAGGCAACCGGATTTTGTACCAAACATTCTTGAGGCATGTGAAGCTGGCGTTCAAGGACCCTGCTGCGCCTCCACTCGATCCGACCGACAGTTACAAGTGCATATACATTTGCACAGCGCCCGCAGCTTATAAGGGCAATATATGCGCATGGGGTTTTAAGTTTTGTAATATTGTGCGTTCCAACACGCTCATGTTTGGATCGTTAAAGCATAGCAAACGTTCAGAATCTTGGTGTGCGCCGGTGCATCTCAAGAAATTCCAGGTTCCGCTCGAGGTGAGCTCGGGATTTTGGACGGTGTCACTGAATCAAGGCACTAATTCTGCTTTCGCTAGAATAAATGGGGTCGAGGTACTCAAGCATGTACGAAACCACATTGTAGCCCATTACACTGCTTTGGTGGTTATCTCATATCGTTCCAAGGTGGTTTCGAAGTAGTTCGCTTTACTTCCCACGCTGATCTCGTAACCATCGAGCGTTTCAGGCTCACTCAATTCCCCACTACGCTCTGCTGCGAGAGCATCTCCAAGTATCGTACCAAGCTGAGCCTCATCTAGAACGTTCACTCGATGAAAGTCCATTAGACTCGGGAGACCGCAGTACTTGAAGCGAATCTTCTTGCTTAGGGCCGAGCTATGCAGACTTCCATGGTCTAAGATGAAAGCAATGCCTTGAACTTCGTAGCGTGTCTCTGGTGGAGTGCAATGGTAGTCCTTATATACCTCCAACACTAGGGCGTTGTGCAAATCCGTTGCGCCGGTGAATACAGCAAGTCTTGTACCTTCGGCCAAGATTTGCTGGCCTGAGAGATATGTTATGGGGTGAGTGGCCTCGCCAGTGTCGCCTTTCTCTGCGACTCGTTGCATCGAGGCCCAGCAGTCTTTTGTGTTCTTGGTGATCGCGGAAGACATTATATCAACCATGCTGCAACATAGATTTAGATGGCCTCGGCTTTGTCTAGTCGCTCGATGTCGCGACTGTTGGGTAAGCGCATTGATGAAGGCTCTTTGAGACAAAGCCACGGCGGCTTCACTGGAAGTCACCATCCGGCTACCCAGCCAGCGGTACTTCAGAAAGTTGTTGAGCGCACCCGTACGTTCCGGCCCTGCATTGAGACAACTTACGGCGTTCTGAACATCTGGTGGTAAGGAAAGCTGGACTCCTCTCCTAGTATGATACCAGTACTCATATCGATACGGAAGGTAGAGCACATCTGTAGCGTGGAGAAATTGTAGCGATGCAGTTACCTCGAGCCCTCGAGCCAGTACAAAGCTGCTATCTCTAGTACCCGGTGCCACCTCAAGACTATATCTTGCAATGTCTTCGCGATCCAGATTCAGTACGCGACGGAACAGATTGAGAAAGTCGCGCTCTTTCCACAGATCCGGTTCCCCACTTTCGCATTGGTTTTGCAGCAGACTTACGAACAACTGCTTGGTCGATAAGTTGTAGTCGGGTATGAGACGATGCGAGGTCCTGGGATTCTGAGAGGCAAGACCCAGCAGTGCATATATCTTGTCGTGAATAACGCTACACTTCGACCTGGAGAACGATTCGATCAACCACCGAAGCTCGAACGCTAGCGGCCAATCCCAGGCGGTGAGATACGGTAGGGATATCTTCGGATCTCCGTAGGCTCGATACTCTCTCCGAGAGTATAGAAGTTTCCACCCTGGAATATGTGGAGTCTCCATGCGAATTCGGTCCACTCCCATCACACGGCTCAGTTCGTCTGCATCTGCACGGTACTCGCCTAGCCAGACTTCTAGGACTTGGGGCAATAACGCTTCTTGAATAACCCACATGCGCTCCCAGTATGGCTTGTGCAGGATATCCGCTATAGTCTTGTGCGTCCATCCGCTACCAAGATGGCGATCGGGTACAAACGGATACGCCACAGTTTCCTCGGGGGTTATCTCTCCCAGCCATGCAATGACTGATTTCGCTGTCGAATATAGGTCTCGCATTTTGGTGATCTGTTGATTACGCTCTTCGATGTCATCTTGGTTGATACCTTTCTCCGAACATTAGCGCTATTAACTAATCGCATTGACACATACTCACAAATGGCATCAATCCATAGAGCAGCGTCACCACCTATGTTCCAAGAGCGAAAACGATGAAGGAAGTCCCAAAGATTCTTTCCGATCTCGATGTCCACACCATTGCATTGTACATTGCGTTTGCCATTGTCAAGAGACCAGGTATACGACAATGCGTGGTAAGGCAGACCATCGCGGAGGTTTGCATGTAAGAGTAGACATCGAAGGGGTTCGTGAGTATCCCCGGGATATACTCTGAGCAATCGAATGGTGTTATTATTCGGATCAAGAGGTCTGTATAAGAAGGGCGGCATGCCGCCTGTGAGGCTGTCCAAAGCGGGGCCGACCGGGTAAAAACAGACTGCCTGCGCTCCCTTAACCTGTAGCTGAACTTAGAGAAATAGATGGGATTCGGGCCACCAAGTTTCCAGTAATCTCAGGCTGCGTGAGGCGTGTGTTATCATGAGTGAGGGGTTCGGACGCCGATGAGGGCAGCACATGTTTGAAAAGTAACAGTGCATGACTTGTGCATATGCTGTGACACAGTGTGTGATTGCCACGTTGTCAGCGAATCCAATGCCGGTCTTATGACGAAGAGTCGCGTCGAATCCTTAGCGAGTGGGCGGATGCAGGTGTGCTGGGGGATGGGCGCTTAGTTGTTTGTACCCGTTTGTAATACACCGAGTGGGTTTCCCAAGTACTGGTTCTGTACTTTAGCTGATAAGTAATAGAGGAATAATTCTTGCATAGTGTTGAGGCATATCGTTCTAAAGCCTGCTGCGCATCTGTGTAGCTGTGCTGAGCGGTAGCCTAGGGGGCGGGCATGCAGTGACGAAAGAAACCGTGTCATGTCTCGGAATACTTGCTGGCTACAATCTTGATTAGACCACCTTTTTGTGTACCTTCCTCATTCAATGAATAACGTTACTGCCAAAAGGTATGTGAAACTAGCAGGATCGCGTGCTCTTCTTTTGGCGCAGCGCAGTTTTGAGGAGTGGCGACGGCGATCACTATCATAGCTACATTCGTCTCGTATTAGGCCATCGTGTATCTTTATACGTGCGAATCGTTATAATAGGCAGAATCAGAGATCCGATACAGGCCGTCGAGGGGGAAGCCGCCACCAGCCGTGTCGGCGGGCGATGCCCCGCGGGCCGCAACCCCGCCCGCCCTCAACTCAATCCATACATACGATCATGCACTCGTGCATACACTATTTACTTCACGTGCGGAGACAGTCCTTGATGACCTGCTCAACTTTGCGTAAAGAAATTTCTTGTCCTCATATTAGCATCTGTGATCCAGCAGTCAACATTCTCGCGTTTGGCTTCGCGACAGTCGGCTTCTTGTTTCTCGCTGATAAATCCAGACGCGATAGCCTGCACGATGGCTCACCAGCATCTCATCGAGGACCGGTTTTGACTATCGGACTGCGTATCATGCAAAGTCTTACTTTCGGCTGGGTCCTCTGGAATCAATAAATTCAGTGGACATGGGAAAAGAACTCACCGGTTCGAGGGTGATAAGACAGCCAAATATTAGTGATCAAAGTGAGTGGTGTTAGAACGCACGTACTGAAACATCCGACAGGCTTTGCAAATTATCACAATCCTTCCTACATACATATCACGAAGCAGTGATATATGAAAGCATCGATCCGATTGCGATATATGAATCAAGCACGATAGGAGGGCTTCATTTCTCAATTTGATGTTAACCTCCTGTCCGTCTATACCCTATAGCAAGACCACTTGTCCCATCCACCATCACACCAAGCATACACGTTGCTGCCGTACTGCCTCGTACATGCTGCAGGAGTGTCGACATTCAAGACTATACCGACGTTGAGGGCTCCAC